ACCATAAAAGTGTTACTGCACCAAGGGTATGCTTGCACTTTGACAACCATGACCTGAACAAAGATTGTTACAGAAACAACAAGAAGGGGTGTCCCTATAATGAGGCAGGTGTGCCTGCCTCCTCCTTTCCAACCAGAGCTTTCCTGGTAGGTAAGAGCTCTTAGCCATCTGTGAGGTTCTGGCCAGCGTCCTGCCCAGCTTACTGACGTCACTGGTTGCCAGGAGCTGAAGTACCCCGGCAGCATACTACCCCCTCCCTCCGGTAAGGTGCACCGCCAGACCAGCACCACCTCGGTTCCCTGGTAACGTTTGGCACCATCACCAACTCCCCACCTTTGGTATCCTGCAAAACCACATCAGAACCCCCAATCCCCCCCACCCAAGGCAGCAAAAAGTTAAAATCAAAAGGTTTTTAAGCTTTTTTAAATCACTTACAATGGATGTTGCTCCTTATGTCTACAAGTTTTAGACATCAGCTGGTCCCCTGAGCATTGGCCCTGATATCTTGTTTTAGTGTGGCCCCTTTCCTTTGCAGGGTCCTATGCAGCCACCCCTGTGTGTGCTAGTAAGCTGCGTGTGTCTCCACAAACGCACAGGCAAGTCCCTACCCCTCCTCCCCTCTCCTCCTTCCTCCCTTCTTCATCCTCCCTTCTACAAGCTAGTACCCTGTTTCCCTGAAAATAAGACCTATCCCCAAAATAAGACCTAGTGTGTTTTTTTGAGCCCCAAAAAATACAAGAGTGTGTCTTATTTTCGGGCAAACACGGTAGATGGACAGCTGCTGGAGACTGTTTTGTCCCTTGTTCTCTTGTACTAGACAGGAAGTTCAGGAAAGCTAAGCTGAGGAGTTAGAGCCAGCTGTTCAGAAACATAACTGTAAATACTTGGGCAAAAAAGCCTCCCCCCCGCTGTGTAATCTGTCATGGATGGAGTGCTGCCTGTTAATTACAAGCCGCGCTGCATCCGGCTTTTGACAGCTAAGCTAGGTTACACAGCAGCAGGCTTCCCCATTGCTTGTGTAACCTAACAGTGAGGCCAGAGGTGTCACAGACTCTATCTCGATATGTCACCAATGATGCTCCTCCCTCTCTCCTCCATATATAGCTTGGTTACCGAGTTGGGGGTGGGGCTTCTGTGGAATGGGGCGGAGCTATGGCATGCTGGGGGCAGGGCTGGGGAATGCCTCACCCAGCACGGAAGGCACCGCACGTCACTGCCACAAGTGTTGTTTATGTAACCACAGGAAGGATTTTCCCGTAAGTAATGAAGCACAAGAGGTTCAGCTCATGCTGCTCAGAATAACACAAGGCGACTCTAAACCACGCTGTGAAGGAAAAAAGGCTTTTCATCGGGTTACATTTTATTAGTGTAACTGAGAAAAACAACCCGCGCACTCATCATCTATAACCTCCTTCATACATCTATTCACATATGTAAATATATGCATATTATATCCTATACCGTTTCAATTCCATGAGGATTGAGCAAAATAAAATGTATGAATTTCTGATTCTGGTTAAATTTCACTATTTTGACAAAGGAGAAGCCTACGAGGTTCCGAGCAGAATAGAAAATAAGTGAAAAGAATGAGAAGAAAAAAAAATGGTTAAAAATAATTTTAACTGCTTGCTGACCAGGTGCTTAGACCCCCTTCCTGGCCAGGCCATTTCTCAGTATTCAGCGCTGTGGTACTTTGACTGACGTTTATTCCGTCATGCAACGCTGTACTGAAATGAATTTTATACCATTTTTGGGGGACAGATAGAGCTTTCTTATGGTGGGATTTAATCACCACTGCGGGTTTTATTTTTTACTATAGTAAGGAAAAATTACTGAAAATTTTGAAAAAAAAAAAAAAGTATTTTTTAACATTATGTTAGGGAACAATTATTATTACCCAATTTTTTGGTAAAATATAAAATATGGGGTCTCGTCAGGTAAATAGACACTAAACATGTCAAGCTTTAAAATAGCGCGCACCCGCGAAAGCTCAGAAAACTACCATACCCAAAATTGACCATAGGTGACGCTGTAAAAGCTTTTATCGCTCATCAGTTTAGTGTTATCAGTGACAGATGGCCCTAAAATGTGTGCTCTCACTGCGACGTTCGTGGCAATATGTAACATGTGTGGTGTAATGGGCGCGATCGTCCTTTGCACGTATGGGCACCCGACACATGTTTACAGGCGTGTAACTTCAAATTTTGTTTTTTGGAAACTTACATTTTTTTTCCTAATTGTTTTCACTTAACTTGATTGCTATCACATAAGGGGCTAATGAAACCCCCCTATGTGATAGCAAAGATATGTGACAGGTCCTCTTTATGGAGACATCAGGGGTCTCTAAGACCCCTAATGTCACCTGGGACCCCCCTGAAGAAGCTGATGAAGCACAGATCTGCTTCATCAACTTCTCTCCAGCTTCTCAAACTTGAGAGTGACACAAGAATGCAGAAGTGATGTAATATACATCACTGTAATATACATCACTTCCGCATTCTGACAGCGGAGAGGGGACCGGAGGCAGGGGCATCCCGAGGCTGGGTGACACCCGGAGCGGTAACCGAGTGTCACCCCGCCGAGACGTCACTGCGCGTGCGCGATGACATCATCACGCACGCGAGG